GATCCTCAATACGCCAATAACTCTTATTGCACGGTATACAGTATCCACAACTACCGCTTGTGCCGATCAAATTCAGAATAGGCTCGTAATGCGCAGCGTTTTTATAGTACATTAATCGTAAAGTATAAACGATTTGTCCTTGAGTCTCTAAAACTAAACGAGTAATATCGTACAGGGGCCGATGACCACGCCCAAAATTTTGAAACGAATAAACGACAATTGCTGTCTTGTGAGTAGAAAAACAAATTTTAAAACTCGTGAACTTCTGCGAGGCCAAACCCTGTATCAGGTACACAAATTTTTGTTAATCGCAAAATCTATTTGGCAGCTCTCTTTTGAGTGGGCAAGAATAGCGTCTTATAAAGTTCCAATAATTATGTAACCTACCCGTGCGTATTTGTCCCCAGACGACGTAAGCGTAAGCTGCTGCTAAAGCTCGTGGCAAACTACGGTTATCATTGTTATTGACGGTTAATATTGATTTATAATGGCACAATTAATTGACAAACTGTCATCGATTTCAAAGTCACTCGAACTCTGGACGGCATTAAACAAAACATCCCATAAATCTTCAACAAAATTTTGAGTAGGCCTGAAAGATATCTACAACGGACCGTGATGAAGCATTTGAGAATTTATAGTAACACCTATAAAGTCTTCAGGATTACTTTTTTCGACTAAATGATTATGTAAATTATTCATACAATCCTCAAGCCATGCGTATAAATTAACATTTGGGGGTGGTCTCGCCAATCTACCTTGAATTTCTCATCCTTCATAATTAAATCGACGATATCATCTAGTTGTTATGTTTTCGATGATAAAACGTGGACGATCCTCTTCGCCATTCTGCAACGGTAATTCTTAAAAAACATTTTGAATATTTGAAAATAACTAAAGAAAAAGATGCATCTCATAATATTTACCATCATCCTCGATACTGTCGCTGCTACAACTACTACTACTACTACTACTACTACTACTACTACTACTACTACTACTACTACTACTACTACTACTACTACTACTACTACTACTACTACTACTACTACTACTACTACTACTACTACTACTACTACTACTACTACTACTACTACTACTACTACTACTACTACTACTACTACTACTACTACTACTACTACTACTACTACTACTACTACTACTACTACTACTACTACTACTACTACTACTACTACTACTACTACTACTACTACTACTACTACTACTACTACTACTACTACTACTACTACTACTACTACTACTACTACTACTACTACTACTACTACTACTACTACTACTACTACTACTACTACTACTACTACTACTACTACTACTACTACTACTACTACTACTACTACTACTACTACTACTACTACTACTACTACTACTACTACTACTACTACTACTACTACTACTACTACTACTACTACTACTACTACTACTACTACTACTACTACTACTACTACTACTACTACTACTACTACTACTACTACTACTACTACTACTACTACTACTACTACTACTACTACTACTACTACTACTACTACTACTACTACTACTACTACTACTACTACTACTACTACTACTACTACTACTACTACTACTACTACTACTACTACTACTACTACTACTACTACTACTACTACTACTACTACTACTACTACTACTACTACTACTACTACTACTACTACTACTACTACTACTACTACTACTACTACTACTACTACTACTACTACTACTACTACTACTACTACTACTACTACTACTACTACTACTACTACTACTACTACTACTACTACTACTACTACTACTACTACTACTACTACTACTACTACTACTACTACTACTACTACTACTACTACTACTACTACTACTACTACTACTACTACTACTACTACTACTACTACTACTACTACTACTACTACTACTACTACTACTACTACTACTACTACTACTACTACTACTACTACTACTACTACTACTACTACTACTACTACTACTACTACTACTACTACTACTACTACTACTACTACTACTACTACTACTACTACTACTACTACTACTACTACTACTACTACTACTACTACTACTACTACTACTACTACTACTACTACTACTACTACTACTACTACTACTACTACTACTACTACTACTACTACTACTACTACTACTACTACTACTACTACTACTACTACTACTACTACTACTACTACTACTACTACTACTACTACTACTACTACTACTACTACTACTACTACTACTACTACTACTACTACTACTACTACTACTACTACTACTACTACTACTACTACTACTACTACTACTACTACTACTACTACTACTACTACTACTACTACTACTACTACTACTACTACTACTACTACTACTACTACTACTACTACTACTACTACTACTACTACTACTACTACTACTACTACTACTACTACTACTACTACTACTACTACTACTACTACTACTACTACTACTACTACTACTACTA